TTGTGTTCAGTATCATATATAACCCAAATAACCTACATTAAACTTTATTGTCTACTACTAATCCGCTAGGCACAGTAATAAACAAACCCAATCTACACAAGCTCTACATACAACGCTCATCATTTCATAACAGAAAACAAAAGTACGTTTTGTGCATGGCTGACATTTCATCATTACAGGCTTTTAAAAAAAGTTTTATTTGTGTATTTTTCCTTTTCTCTGAAGAAAAAGCTAAAATTCCCAGTATATATGTAAATGCAGTGGAACAGTGACTTTCAGCACCATGGAGAGCGCACTACAAAGACATAACATTGAGACAGCCAAAGTATTTTTAGACTATTTTGTTTTTTTAAACATTATATAAAAAATATTTTAGTTTGTACAGAGCTTAATTATTTACAGCTAAACCACATTAAATTTTTAATATCACATGGCCATGTGTCTTGATTTAACCAAGCTTAAAAGCTTCATCATATGCATAATTACACCAATAATCTTATAACATACAATATGCAATATTTTTTAAGTTGTAAATAAAACAAAGATTACTTTAGTATGTAAGATTACTTCAGTAAAAGAAAATATTATTTCAGTCTTTCTACTTAAATTCATGTCTAATTTAATGTGTGCTGTTTCTTTGTAGTTAACTGTAAAATTTGCTAGCAATTACAGAGTAACAAATTGTTTCTACAATTTTTAATGTACTAATAACAATAATAATAAGAAGAATAAAAAATATGGTGAAATTCTGAATTAACTGTAAGAACTGACTTCTAATTTCAATACATAAATTGGAATTTGAATTGAATTGGCCACACCCTCACAGGAAGTTGAACAGGAATGACAGGAAGTAGAATCCACTGAATTGGAATTCAAAGAGTTTTGTGACAAAACATAAATAATTACATTAATAATTCAGACTAATCATGATATTTATTCATTTATATTTTTATTTGTTCACTGGATCCTGTTAGCTACTAGGGCTGCACAATAAATCTAAATGGAATCGAGATCGCGATTCGACAGAAGCTGCGATTGTCATGCGTATCTTTCAGTGAAATACTATGACATATGTTGCGTGCCTTATTCTGTGTAAGAAGCCACATCATCTCACAGAAGGATTTATTTCAAACACTCGACTGACGTTATGAAGTGAGTTTGGAGTAAAAATATGTTATTAAATGTGGTATTTTCACATGCTTTCAGATGGAGCAGCATTTACTTCACAGAGCCGTAGTTCACTGAGAAGCTATGCAAACAGCTGTCATTATCGCAAACGATTTCTTCGATTTCGTAATCGCGCAATAAAATCGTCTGCGATTTTTTTTTGCGTAACTTGTCAGTGAACTACGGCTATGTGTAGTAAATTCTGCTCCATCTGAAAGCACGTGATGATGATTTCCTGCTGATTACAGAACCGGCTTTACTAACAAAATGCGCATGACAATCGCATTCGATTAATCGTGCAGCCCTAGTTAGCTACCTTAAAATTGAATTACAAATATAAAAGGGATTCCCATTTATTTTTTTATAAGTTACATTTAACCATACAACCATATCCACAAGTCTTTTTCAACCCATGAGCTCAAAGCTATATCTAAATAAAAGGAAGAAAACAGATGAAAGAAGACAGGAGACTCTGTTTGTGTCACTAAGAAGAGGTTACTTTCCTCTCCAAATTAATTATTTAAATGCTGAGTCATTTAGCCATTAACCAGCCTGCCGTGTGACTGGAGGTAATCTGAACCACGAGAGCGCATGTCTCTCACTCATACTGCGTCATCATGATGCAAATCTGTAACACAAAACACCTTAAATCTTATCAGTAATGAGAATTTTGGGTTGACCTGTATATGACCTACACAACAGGTACACGTTTATCTCAAGGCTGATGTTTATGAATTAAAGACCAGGATTTTTCGTGACATTAAGGCTCTGTTGTGAAACGAGTGAGCTGCCTTATAAGCTAGTAATCTGTATTGTGGCCTTACAAGGAAGCATACTTGACAAAGGAACTTCATACTTGAGAATTTTGGAACGTTTTACAGAGGCAGCAACATACAAATTTGAATTAGATGAAAATAATTTTATCAATACTTTTTGCTAATGAAAGAAATACATTTACAATCAATATTTCGATTGCGTTGTCCACTATATTATTGCTTTTCAAAATAGCTCCTGTATCGGGAGTGTGCATATGACGCCTTAAAAGACTGCCGACTTAAGCAGCTCACTAGATTTTGGAACAAAGCTTTAAAAACAACATGGCAGCCACTTTCTTTTATGCCACTAAAACCGTGGTTGAAAGATATGAAAAAAAAGGACACACCACCACTTGCCTATTATCACCTTTATAGGATTGAAACACTGAATGGATTTGGCTTTGATAAACGTAAGCATGATTTAGTTTTGGTTATTGATAGTTTTTTTTTTGCTTTTGTTAAATCCTTCTCCATGGTGGTCATGCTTGCTTACTGACTGGGTTTGGTAAAGAGGAGCAGGCCTCAAGGCTCAAAGCGCAGTGTAAAATAAGCGTTACAAATCTCTGTGACTACAGGCCACAACACCGCAAGCAGAAAACACGCAAACAGAGAGAGCAAAAGACAGTCTATACCAGCGTGTTATGAAGATTATCAGTTTTATTAACCGTGCAGATGTTGAAAACCAGCCTAATATACTATTTAGGCATTATACTATACATGGGCTATTTGTTCTCTGGCAGCGTCTCTGTGATTCTGACAGGTTGATAGACGTCTCTTATCAAGGTTGACAGATTACATATGCTGCGCTGTTTGCAAAGTGAAACAATCCTTTCAAATGCGTGACACTGTTCTGATGCAAGACAGAAATAATTTAAAGACTTATAGGTTAGTTATTATCATGCCAAGCATGGAATAATACATCTTTATTACATTTATATAAAATTCTGATATAATGCCCAGATAAAATACTATGCAAAACATAAGGAGGGATATATTTATAAAATTGTACAAATGTCTAAAATTGTACACCTAACAAAGATGAATCATTATCACTGTCTCAGATACAGCTATTATTATTATAAAAAATTGTACATGACACATTGATAATTGCCTCAAACAGTGAGACATAACAATAAAATGATCGATAAATACAAATATATAATATAATATGCTGCAATATAATATAAAATAAAATAATATAATACATGATATTACATATATTACACTGGATAAAATTCAAGAGTAGCAAAATTGTTTAAAATAATATTTAATAACAATATATAATATAATTAAATAATATATATGAATAAATGTATAAATTATGTTTGTGTGTGTTTATATCTATATCTATATATATATTTTTTTTTTAAATTTTTTTTTTTTACACTGAGTAGCCAAATTGTACCAATGTACCAAAAATGTTTATCATATAAAAATGTCCTTTGATGGCAGCAACAAAAGACATACAAAACATTTTTCTCCTCTTATAACTAAAAGTTAATGTCTATTATACTATCCTAACTATGCCTGATCATAGAGTTATTTGCAGTATCGCAACTCTATCTGAATGGACTTGTGACCCATTTTTGGATTGCAACCCACCAGTTGAGTTGTGAAAAACACTGTATGTATATTTTGCAATCTAAAAAGAAAGATATCATTTTTAGCTGCAAATGTCAACAATAAGATCACAAACAACTTCACATTACGTAAAACCTTACATAAACAGCATAAAAATTCTATGATTTCATACGGCATGAGAGACGAGATAATCCACTGGGGACTGCCATGTGTGGGCACACAGCGGACAAATCCAGCCTCTGCCCCATACAAGCGCACAACTGGCATGGGCCCAACACCCTCACTTCAGAAAGCGGCTGGTGCACAGCACAAAAAATGAGATGTTTTACATGCCTCCAAGGCAAAAACAACTGATAGTATGCTGCGGACGGTACATCTTTGTACACGGGAACAACCAATTCTAAACTTCATGAATGGGAGTATACAGTACTTGCATATCTAGCATATCAGATTAAATGCATTAGGAATCTACTGCTGTTTTTGGAGAAAAAAAGTGGGAGAACTGACTGATAAACACAGGAAAGAAAAATCTTTAACATCACAATTGTTTCTCCTAAACACAAATAAATGCATTAAATTCAGATTAAATCACATTATAGCTCTGTTCTCTTACTGTATGTCAACAGTTGTCTCACTTGTGTCTAATTTTAAGGAAAGTTGATGCTTAAACAAAAGAAAAAAGAAATTTTCCTCCAGGCAGTTATCATGGGTAGTTTATAAGCAATAATCAATATCATGCATGCTCTCCGTATCTGAATTCAACCTGAGACTGAAGTATTTTCAGTGCATAGCCAAAACTAAAACTAACATATGTTTTAAAGAAACAGAAGTTTTAGGGTTCCTAGACCTTTTGACCAATTACTTTGACATTTTAGAGACACTGCACTCACAAACAAAAAAAACACATTTTGGATCTGAGCGGAACTAGATAAACAATCCTAAAATGATTTTCCAGAGAGTATAAAAAAGCAATTTTATTTTTATTATAATTATTATTCCCTGATGTCTTCAGCTTATTCATGACTGTGGGAATCCGGCATCTAATAGCATTCAGTACAATAATAAAACCCCGTTTGAGTGATGCGCTTCCATCAAAAAGTAGCTGCGTTCAAACGCGCGGAACACTCTCCAGTCGTTACCGTATCCGTACTCGGTAACATGACAGCAAAAACTCGGTACTCGGAAGCCCTAACTATCGCCGTTCTCCTGTCACGCCTCTTTCGATCAATAATTGAACGACTAACCTCCTTGGAAATGGTAACAGTCATGTAGAATTGCTTAAGGACTACAAATATGAACGGTGATTAAAAATAAAAACAGACTGACGCGTTAACGTCCGCGTTAACGGAGATATCTTGAGCGTCTCGCGAAACTGGGATGCTGTGAAACGCGCGCGTTCGACGCCTCATCCCGCGCTCGCGCTTCTGATGTACTTACGTGTAGTGCTGAGGAAAGAGGAGCGTCGCCGTTCCCCGTGAGGAGAGGCTGAGGAGCAGCACAGTTTGAACGGAGAGGAGGCAGAGCAGACTGGAGGACTGAGCAAACATCGCCATTTTCCATTAAAAATTCAAGAAACTGGGTAGATAAACGCAACCGGTAGTCAAGCGAACTGGGGTTAACGCCGAGCTGTCGACGACGATGGAGAAGGCTCGTTAAGATGTTGTTGGGGATTTCCCAATTGGGACACAAGATTAGTATTTTTTAGAGACTCAATTAAATCATAATCATATCATGGCATGTTTTGAGGTATCACCCAAAATCGTATTGATAGCTAAGAGAATCAATGTCAGTTCATATTGTGATATTCATGTCACAACATTATGATATCATGGTTTCACATGGTAATACTTGGGTACTTTGATTGAAGTACTATGGTACCGAAATTCATGTGCATAAAGGTCTAAAAGTTTTTCACAAAACAAATTTTGTTAGGCTTTAGATGATAAAACAATAGATATACTGTATATTTTAAATATTGAAAAAAAAAAATGTTTGCGAGGAACTGACTTAAAACTACAAATCACTAAAACACCAGTTGATTATAAGACATTGAACAAAAATGAAGAACAGTGAAGTCAGTGAACAGAAAAGATCCTGCAGCATCAATACGGTTATATAATCCAATGACATTTAAATTCATTTAATCAATGCATAGATGGACCAAAAAAAGTGAACACACACAAACACTGGCTTTGTGTTCTGTACTCAATGAGCAGAAAGCCTGAATTCATTCCATCTTGTGGGAATTCCCTAATTCATGAGCTGGTTATTCTCTTGTTGTCTGTACTAGTTAGAGCGTGAAACACAGATGTCCTTCAGGGCCACTGCGTCACGAGGATGTTATCGCACGATCCGATCAGAAAGGGACAAACGACACACTGCCTCTTCCTCAAACACGCTGTCTCGGGTGCCCTTGACTCAGTATTGATCAGAGCAGACAAAACACAGTGTCAGCCTATCTCTCTCTCACACACACACACACACACACACACACACCACACTGTCACTCCTGCATTCAGTTTGTCCTTATTTCCCGTGTGTGTTTGCATGATAGATAATTACATCATGATTTAGGTTGCCAGCATCTGGCAAACTCCTTTCCATTCATTTTCTGCTCCCTGCTGTGTGTGCTTGTAATCATACATTTACAAGTTCGAAAGATTTCAAACAAAGTAAACCTCTTTTGTCCATTTTGAAAGCAGTAGTTGACTCTGAAGAGGCTGACAATGATAATATAAAATCTCTAGAATATTGTCACCGTACATTTGTCTGTTACATTTCATATTCTTGTATTTGAGTTTAGATAGGGAATTTAAAAATATATAAATTTTATTAGTAATTTAAAGGCATACATTATATTAATATTAAACGGTTGTATTGACAGTGTGCTTACATATACACAGCTTTAGAAACATAAATATTTATTAAAATTAGTATTATAAATTAATTAATTTTGAAGCAGCAGTAATAATAATGCTTGATTTTAGCTTGATGTTTTTTCTTTAATGGTGGCCAATTACAGTGAGATGTAAACTTAGAAATAATTACAAATGTAATGTATTAAATAAATTATATTAAATACATTGACTTTGAAATTGGCTAAATCAAGCATCATTACTATTGCTTATGCTTCAAATATTTATCCATTTATTTATGATATACACTAAATAGAAAGGATTCATAAAACGTGCATGTAAATATATAGCAATGAGCAAATCATTTATTCATTCTAATTAATATATTATTATAATTTTGCATCTTACCATAAGTAATTAGGCACTAAAAAACGAAGAAGAAGAAAAATCAAGCATCATACTTCAAATATTTATGATATACACTAATAAAAAGGATTCATAAATGTCTATGTAAATGTTAAGTGCAAATACAAATACTAATGAGATTTTCCTCAATTTTTTTAGCACCTAATTACTTAGTAGTCAATAAAAACTATTGCCGGCTTGCTTTTGCAGCTTTCATGAGGCTAGTTTTACACTGAGTTGAGAAGAATTGATTGTCTGGATATAAGAATGCATTCATGCTGACATGTAAACCGGAGATGTTTGGACGTCAAATGTTAGGTTGTCTAATGCATGATGATGGCATCTTTTTTTTAGAGTTCAATGCATCAGGGTTGCTGTAAAAACACATCACACCTCTCCTGAAAGGAAAGAGTGAAAGAGAAGCAAAGACAGACAGAAGAGAGAGAGAGAGAATAAAGAGAGACTGAATAAAAATGCACTGAAATTCAAGAGAATATGACTACAGATATGTGGCATGTAAGGAGAGAGAGATGCAGGGAAAATGTATTGGGAATGACCTAAAGTGGTAGAAAGCTGCATATTTGTATTGACCCCTCATGTAAATTCAGCTGTAGTTATAGGTGGATTAATGATAATTAATGGTCACCTTATATGGAGGGCAACCTCTGAATTGCTATCACTGTATTCACCTTCACATTTAAATAAACACTGACCATTGATTTTACAATTAATCAACCAAAACAAAACTAATAAAAGAAAATAATTAAATTCTTAAATTAATAATTAAATGAATGTTATTCATTTTAATAAAAAAAATATTCCAAAATGTTAAATAAAACAAAACAAAAATATAACATAAAAATAAATTAATTTAAATTAAAATATAAAATAAAATAATTAAACTAATAATATAAACAGTGTAAAATAAAATATAAAGTAAACTAAAACATGAATAAAATTAAATATAAAATAACATAAAATAGGTATTACTATTGTACTGTGTCAAAAACACGATAGTACCATCATACTTCATGTAAATGAAATAAATACTGAATAAATGATGAATATGGTACAGAACATTCCATACCACGTGAGCAGATATACATCACATTTTCATTTTTGGGTGAACTATCCCTTTAAATGTGAAATATGTTAGTATAATATCTCAGTATAATTGTGAGTGTATATGTTATTTTTACCAGAGTAAATGGGTTGAGCAGGCCTCCTTCAGCCTAGACACATTAAGCATCAGTCCCTTAGTGAAAGCATAATGAGGAGACCGTGCTGTCACCTTTCTCGTATCCAACCAACCATCAGAAAAGTATTGATTCCTGGGAAGTGGCCAGTGCTGAAAATGAGAAATAGGCACTGATCCCTCTTCCTCTGCAGACGCGCCTGACATGCAAGCAGCTTAACTGAGCATAGAGGAGACCAATGGAGTGTGTTTGGCATTGCTGTAGATCGCTGTTCTCCCTAATTGAGTCTTACATTGTGTCGAGGAAGAGACAGAGAGAAAGTGAAAAGCCTAGAGCAAAATTTCATAGCTCAGAGGCTGGTCTTCATGGAGTTCACAACTCGGTTTCATTTAAGGATCAGCTTTCTCAGATGTTTCCCCTAAAATGCCTGAAGAAATAAAAATAGAAACTAGATTTTTACATTTTCTGAAGAAATGTGAGTGTGTTTCTCACCGCCATGATGCTAGGGGTTTCTGAGTAGTTGCTAGGGTCTTTTGGCTGCTCCTTCTTCTTTTGACATACAGTATGACTATAGCGCTACTGTATATTTTTCACAGAGATTATTTGGTCTTTTAATGAGAATTTAATGAGAAATAGAGAAGTTCATCTGGAGATCTCCAAACTTTAATGGCAGACTTTGGTATCTTGGCAAAACAGAGCACAGTTTGAGACAGTCGAGATCTCGTAAAGTCTAGAGGAGACACATCAGACAATACTGGGATTGTTTACCCGGAGAAACATCTGAGACACAGGAAATTAAAGTCATTATATTAAACAGTAGGGCTGTGCAACTTGGGGGATAAAAAAAAATATATATATATATATATAAAAAAAATTTTTTTTTTTTAAATTGATTTAATTAAATCTCAAATTTAATAAAAATCAATTTAGCTGAATTGGTACATT